CCGATTGGCACTTCTACCACCCGCCGTCTCACTGGTTCTTTCACTCCCGTGACGTCACCTTTGACGAGTCCGTCTCCTTCTACCGGCGCTTCCCCCACAGAGGTCCCCCGGTTACTCCCCCCCTGTTCCTGGTCACCCCTTCCTCAGTCGCCCCTGTCCCCCCCCCTCCCCCTCCCCGTCCTGCACCGTCTGGTGTGTCTCAAGTCACTCCCCTCCCGTCGGTTTTCCCGATCGAGGAGTCTGCTGACTCTGGTGGCCCTGCAGCGCAGTCCTTGCCGGCTGCCCCTTCCCAGGCATTGCCTCCTCCACCGCCTTCGCAGCCGCCGTCACCGCCGCCGCCGCCGCCGCAGCCGTCGCCGCAGCCGTCGCAGCAGCAGTTCGTTGACCTTGGGGGTGCTGGCGTTGGGGTGGGTACTAGTCCTGGGGTTCCTGTCGTGGCATGTCCCGGCGGGCCTGGGGGTGGTACCGGTGTTCGCGGGGTTTCGGGCTCTGAGGGTGTTCCTTTTGGGGGTGCTGGAGTGGAGTGTTCCGGAGGTAGCCGTGGAGCAGCTTGCCGTCCCGGTGTCGGTGTCGTGTCGCCGCTGCAGCAGTCACCGCCGGTGTCAGCCCTTCACCTGCTCGGCCTCCCGTCTCCTGACCACGTTCCTGTTACCTCTCACCTGCTAGGGCCTTGACTATGTACTGACCTTTATATATATATATATATATATATATATATATATATATTTTTCTTGACTGGCCTTGTGGCCTCTCCCAGTGGCTGGACTAGTCGTGCCGCCCTGGTCTTGCCCTTGTACTGGTCTGTACTTGTTTGACTGGTCTTTAGACCCTTGACTCAGAGGTTGGACTAGTAGTGCCGCCATGAGTTGCCTTTTCTCTCATCAGGAACTGCACCTATGCAGTCTAGGGGGTGTGTCAAACATATATATAGTTTAAGTTTGTATAGACTGTATAGGTTCGTATCTTAGAGGGTACAACATTTAGGCTTATACCCTTGTACTGTTTTCTCTCGACAGTCAATCCTATGTTAAGATCCTTGACCTTCTGCAAAATTCCCCCTACACGTGACTGGTCTCCCCACACACCCAACAACTCACAAAAATCGACGAAGTCCTTTTTTCAGACATCCCCCCCACACACCAAGCAACCTAAAAAAACGGCCAAGTCCTCTAGGACAGCCACTCCCCCTGCACACCCAACAAACAACCCACAAAACCTGGCTAAGTCCTCATAGCCAGAGACAGGACAAACAAAAAATGGGTTAAGTATATTGTACAGACATTCCCACTCCCAGTCCTCAACGTCACCCCTTATACCCCCAACAAACCCATACCTATTTTCTAAGAGCAGTCGCTCCATTTAGTGGAATTTTCGCCAGTTGCCAGTTGTCATCTGAAAGTCAATCAAAATGGGACGGCTACGATCGATTGCGATCGTTATGACAATTATGAGACGTTCCATGGTTGCCACCTCATTCACCAGCTTCCCCCCCTCCCCTCCGTTTCGATCCCCCCCTCCCTCTCCGTTTTGCTTCCCCCCTCCCCTCCGTTTCGATTCCCCCTTCCCCTCCGTTTCGCTTTCCCCCTCCCCTCAGTTTTGATTCCCTCCCCTTTTCCCACTTGAATTCGATTCCCCCCTCCCCTCCTTTTTGATTTCCTCTCCCTCAATTGAGCCGTGGGCGGCCATCTGATTTTTTAGCTACAGTATTTTCACTTCGCCTGGGAAATCTGAAAAAATAAAACCCGCCCGCCATAAGTAGCGAATGAGAAATATCGTGACTGCTAGAGATGATGCGACAATTTGAGAATGGCTACGGCGGTTGCTAAATGGAACCCTGATTGGGTTCTGTGAACTTTGAGAATTTCAGGGTTTCAAATTTCTGAACACTGACAAATCAGGGTAGGCATTTTTGGAAACCAGACCCCTCAGGGTTTTTTTTTTTTTTTTGTCGACAGATCAGGGGGATTTTTTTTTAAACGTCAGCCCTGGTGGATACGGTATGTCCTGACCAGGGCTTCAGAAGTCAGGACAAAATGCCATGAAATGCTGTATATCAGGGTGTTTTTTTAGGGTCGTCCTGTTTTTTCAGCTTTTGATTTTTCCTAGGCCTGAATTTTAGCGGTTGTCATTTGAGCAGGCCTGAAATATTGTATGTTCTTGTTTTGGTCACCCTGAATTATCAGCCTTAACGGATTTCCAGCCTGAAACAGAATCCTATCTGACTGGTCGAGGCGAGCTGGAGCAGTTGTGAGGGGCGTAACTTGTCCTTCGCCAAAATGTCGCAGGTGACGCAAGCTGGAGCACTTGTGAGGTGCGTGATTGGTCCTTCGCCAAAATCACACGGGCAATTTGACGTGAGGTGGAGCAGGTGTGAGGGGTGTGTCTGGACCTTAGGCAAAATCACGCAGGAAATGCGAGTTGGAGCAGAGGTGAGGGGCGTGATTGGTCCTTCGCCAAAATCACGCAGGCAGTCTGACGCGAGTTGGAGCAGGTGTGAGGGACGTGACTGGTCCTTGGCCAAAATCACGCTAGTAGTGTGAGAATTTTCTCAAATGTAACTTAGGTCGTTACTGTAGACTATACTGGATCGAGCCTTAGAGGGTACAATACCCTAGTCTATATACCCTTGTACTCACACATTCTAGTTCAATTATTCATTCTGGTAAATTTGTATGTACGTAGTAAAGTCCGATTTGATCTAAGAATCAGATTCAGAAACCTAAAAAATGTACCTACCTGATGAGCAAGGCTGTCGTTATCAGGGTATTTTACCCTGATTCCCTGATTTCACAGGGTATTTCTTTGGCCAACCCTTAATTTTCAGGGTTGGAGTTTTCTTAACCCTAGCCGCTTCAGGGTTGTGAGTTTCTGAACACTTGAGATTTCAGGGATTGCGTTATGCCAATACTGAGTTTTCAGGGAGCAACGCGTACGAACCCTGAATGCGATTCCACGTGCCTCACAGACCTGAAATTTCGGCGATGTCCCCAATCTCTAGAAACATTACCCCTACACACACAGCAACCTACAAAAATTGGCCAAGCCCTAATTGTACAGACATTCCCCCTACATACCCCACAAAAATTGACAAATATTGGCTAAGTCCTATGGTTGACATTCCCCCCCCCCCTACACCCACAACAACCCACAAATAATCGGCTAAGTCCTAGTAGCCAGAGTAGCACTCTCCTCAACAAAAAATTGTCTAAGTCCTGTTGTACAGACAAACATTCCCCCTCCCACACTCTCGTAGACATCCCCCTCGATGTCTACCCCCCGCTCACCTCCGTTTTGATCCTCGTGCCCCCTCCGTTTCGCCTCCCCGCTCAGTTTAGCCAAACTGATGTTTTCTAGCAGCATTGGTTCATTTCGGAATTTCCCCCAGGCCCCCAGTTCCCCCAAAAAAATCCACCAAATTTTGACGGTCACGATCGAGCGCGATCATTTCGATGTTTCTCAGCGGTTCATCGGTTGGCAGCCATTAACGGCTCAGATTTGCGCGACCTGAGCTAGTTTTTTTGCTAGCTCAGACGATTTGGGCCCATCTGGAAAAACCCCTGTAAAACCAGAGCCGAGCCAAACATAACCCCGGCTTCCAGCAAGGCAGTTCTCGAATGTACCAGGCTTTGAGAGGTGTGGGGCGAGATTTGGGGGAGGGAATTGGGGAGGGCGGTGATTTTGGGCGGGGGCACACGTCACTAACAACCCACAAAAATTAGCTAAGTCTTGATAGGCAGTGATAGCACAAAAAGAAATTCACTTTTGTTATTGCCCGTGTGGTCAACTGAAAGTCCATCAACTTCGACGGCCACGATCAATCGCGAACGTTTCGACAATTTTCAGCCGTTAGATGATCGCGTTACGCGTATGATTAACGTACTCAATTCGCCCATAGCGCTGCAAGCGCGGGAGGTTTCTATCAAAGAAGCTTACGACACTAACTAAACTTAGGAACCTAGCTTAGCTAGGAAGCAAGGAAGGACGCTATGGAATGGCGTGAGGAAAGTAGATCTAGGAGCGGGGGAGAGTAGTTGACGAGAAAGAAGAGTTGGGATTAGGAAGAGAGAGCAGTACAAGGAGGGGATTGTACCCTTTACAGAAAGGTTCAGTAACAACCAACCAAGCCTATATTAAATTATGACTTATATAATTTTAACAGTTTCTGCCACTGCCCCATTCGCCTCGATCCCCCCCTCTCCCTCCGTTTCGCTTCCCCCCTCCCCTCCGTTTCGATACCCCCTTCCCCTCCGTTTCGCTTCTCCCATTCCTCACTACTGTATTTCGACCCCCCCCCCCTCCCCCTTTTCCCTCCCCGTTTCGCTTCCTCTCTCTCCCCTATGTTTCCATACTCCCCCTTCCCCTCCGTTTCGCTCTCCCCCTCCCCTCGGTTTGATTCCCTCCCGTTTTTCCCCCAATTTTTTATTCCCCCCTCGTGTTGAAGGCAACCCTGAACGCGTTCGGTGAGCCCTGGGATTTTCAGGGTCCCAGATTTCTGAACACTTACAAATCAGGGTAGGCATTTTTTGATAAGTGAGCCCTCAGGGTATTTTTTTTTTTGTCGACAGCTCAGGGGGGGTTTTTTTGAAACGTCAGGCCTGCTGATGAGTCAGGTCAGGTCAGACTTAATTTTCTTTTTGGTCTGACAAAACATGCCCTGTAACACAATGTGCTAGGTTAAAATCCTACCCACCCTAAAGAAACGCCAAGGTTCAACCTGTCATCTCAGCTCTGAAATATTTCAGTCCTGATTTTTCAGCCTTCGAAAACTTTTACCCTGAAAACATTTGCAACTTCCAAAACCCGACCCTGAAAAACGGGGGCTCTTTCTGGGGCCACCCTGAGCCAACAGCCCCTCCAAATCCAATCTGAAGCCCTGGTCCTGACCATAGGAATGTCCTTCTGATTCTGCTTGGGCATCAAGACCCGAACGAATCTTGCCCAGATGGACTAAATTATCAATTATCTTGCTGTCATGGTGCTCTGCAAATGGTGGTGTGCGCATTATTCAAGTGACTTTATTGAGCTGCAAGAAGCAGGATCTCAACCAGCAAGGATAGCTTTACCGTATTTCAAAGGACTTAGCACACATCATCAACTCAGCAATACGTAATTACAAGAGAACTGCTGCAACAAAGAACTCATACAGCGATCTCCTTCCCCTCTGCAGCTTTACCTTTACCCTTGGGGCTATCTGCCAGCTCAGTGCCACTGCTGTCTGCGTCATCAAGGCTGCCATCCACCTCAGGTCTCAACTCATCCTCGTTGAACTCATCTGGCGCCACCTTATTGTTGAGAGCTAGGTTCTGTTGCAACGTGGAAGACGGGGAGGGAGGGACATGATCAGAGGCTGGCCACTGGGCAGTCACTCATTCAGTCCGCCTAATATGTGAGGAAGAGTGCAGCCTAGCACTGACCTTGCGCATGGCCTCGATGTTCTCCTTCTCAATGCGCCGCACGTCCTCCATTGTGAGCTCGCACCACTCGTCCATCCACCCAAAGCACTTGCGGTGCGCCTCCAGAAACAGAGCCCTCTCGCCCTGCCAGCACACAGGGGTTGTGAATGTCAGGGGCATAGGCAATGCGGTCTGCAATGTTGTGTCAAGAGAAGATGCAATGGACACCGATTGGTCGGGGAGCGAACCGTTGGAGCCAGGCAAAGATAGGAGCTTACAGCGAGTACAAGGAGCTCTAGTCTCTTGCCGAAGCCCCAATACGGAGCATCCACTGTGACCATCTTGTATGCCGTCATGACTGGCTCACATGTTGACTGCCCACAGGTATGCAATGGTGAAACACCAGGGAGAAAGGGGGGCGGGGGGGAAGGAGAGGCTATGAGCAGTGCAAGATGATCGACGCATGATGGGAGCAACACTGCCATAGAAGTGCGCCCGAAGGCTCAGCAGTACTGACCTGCCAGCCTGGCGTGAGCGGCCCGCGATTGGTTTTCGTGAGTGTGACTTTGGAGGGGTCTATGCCCGACTTGGCGATGAGGCGGCTCCACATGTCCCTGTCATGGCTGGCGATGTCCAGCCGCTCCACCTTGCGCTGCTTCAACTGCGCCTCGTCCAGACCCAGCGCCTGGCGGGGGAGGAAGAAGGGGAGAACGGGGGAGAAGAGGGTAATTATGGGGGGTGGGGGAAGTGAGAAGTGGAGGAATGACAGTGAATGTGTGCCTATATACCATTCAGTCAACGTGGCCCGTTCCATCGTGCTTCGCTGAGCCCTTCCATGCCTCCTGAGCTTCACATGAATCCCTCATGTCCAGCATCCATATGTCATATATGCATCCCTGCCACGCCGACTCACATTTTCAGAGTCGCCTCTATCGGCGACGTGCATGGACTCGATGGTGATGGTGAACTTGGTGAAGTACGGGCACTGGCAGGGGCATGGGAATGGGAGGAGGGAGAGGGGCAGAGGCGATTGAGTGAGAGCAAGGGAGCTGTTGAGGGAATGGCAAGTGCTTGGATGCGCTACTGCGAGGGGATTGGTGCACGGGATGAGGCACCAATACGAGGACGTCAGAGTCAAAGAAAAGGTTTGCGTTATGGATGGATGGGCAATGGGAACGCACACCTTGAGCACTGAAGTTGCATCGCAAAACGGCACCGCGTCATGGCAAGGCAGTGGCATATCGCATAGGAGGGGGGCCACGTGAGGAGTTGACACATGACAGAACACAGGCAGGGATGGGGAGGCATGAAGGGAAGGAGAAGGGAGAGGTAAGGGAGCGATGGATTAGATGGCAGAGAAGGCTGCATGGCACCACTAAGCCACAATGACAGCTGAGCATGCAGCAATAGAGGGGAACCAGACACTTCTAAGTCAGACTTTCTCCCATCACCCGTTTTGTTTCATCTGTGCGTATGGCATGACTGAGCATACCTGTCTTGCTGTGCGGGTACGCGTTCCAGTTCTGCTCCTCCAGGCACAGCGCGCCGTGCGGGGCGAGCGCGCGCAGCCACGCGGGCGCCTTGCTGTGGAAGTGGTAGACCACGTGCGCGAAGTGCCCGTGCCCCATGCGGTCGTCCGCGAAGGGGTGCGACGCGCGCACCTCCACGCCCTCGCTGCCGCGCGTGTTCTCCATCTGCATGCGCGACCGCATGTACGTCTGCCCTATGCGGTACTGAGGGGGAAAGGGGGGGAGAGGAAGGAAGGGGGGGGGGGGAGATTGGGAGGGGGGGGAAGGAGATGCGGGAAGGGGTGGGGATGTTGGACTCTTGACATCTTATAAATACATGCGCGACCGCATGTACGTCTGTCCGATGCGGTACTTGGAGGGGGGGGGAGGAGGGGGGGAAGGAAGGAGGGGGTACGAAGGGGTGGAGGTGTCCAATTTGTGAAATTCCACAGAAACATGCGCGAATGCATGTACGTCTGCCCTATGCAACACCAGCGGTATCCCTAACGCTATCCATCCAGCGGTACCAGTACCCCTAGTGCTATCCATCCAGCAGTCATGCCGGAGCCAAGCTACGTCAGCGGAATCGTCTTGAAACTCTGCGTTTCCTGAACTTTCCCTGCCATTTCCCCCTCTAAGCCACCAGTTCTCTTAGCCCCGTCTCACCTCTTCTAGCGAAACAGGCATTGTGATGCGACTGATTGACGTCGCAGAGGGAGTCGTCATGCGACGGATGGTGCGAGCGACGTGTCACGCGACGACATCATTCCAAGAAGGGGTTGCCGTGAATGAGAGGAGGCGATGACAGCAAGTGATGGCGAGGAGGCCGAAAGCGGGAAACATTGCCAACCGAAGGAGTCATTCACGACATAACATGCAGGTCACACGAGAACAAACAGTTCAGACACACGCAAAGGCACAATGACGAATCACGGTCAATCGCAATCATGAATTCACCCAAAGGCACGAAGGGCACGCAGTAGGACACAAGGGAGAGAGAATATGAACACCACATAACAGAATCGGGCATCGACAGGGTCAGACGACAGCCTCGGGGTAACATCACGATAAAATTCGATGAATTGGAAAAGTCTGGTCAATCTAGATTCGACGGGAGAGGGGAGCCTACTATTCTGTTGCTCGGACCATCGCTGCGGTAACGTGCAGCTTCCGCTGCTGCTGGTGTTCAGTCCCGCTGCTGCTGCTGCTGCTATTGGACAAAGAAATGTTATACAACTGGAAACTACTGGACGGCTCTCTGAGCGAGACCCACTGTTGTAAGGCGCTGTGAGCGAACGAGTTGAGACTCGAGACGCAGCGACGGTCTGTAATTAGAAGCCTAGTCCGTGGCGACGAGATGGCATCAGGTCAGCGCCAGTGACGTCGAAGATGGCAGTCGATAGGAACAGGTGTGGACACGAAAGGGGCAAACGCAGACGGAGGTTCCGCGGTGCGGAATGTGTCGCCTGCCTTTCAGGAGCACACGGATTGCGGAAAGCTGAAGGCTCCTAGTCTGGCTGCTGAAGGTCCCTATATAGTCGCTGAGCGCCTTGACCTTCGCCTCGGTCTCGTTGATACTTCTGCCTCGGTCTCGTTGATACTTCTGCCTCGGTCTCGTTGATACTTCTGCCTCGGTCTTGTTTTCAGCAACTCACAGTAGTAAGCTAGGAATGTCAGCCAGGCGTGGATTGGGAGGCACAGGGAATGGAACGGACACTCATGGATGGTGCAGGAGATCTGGCTGCAGAAACAGAGGAAAGAGTGCGCTTCACTACGTTTCAGAGCGGTACGGGCTGGTATTCCCCTAAGGACGCCATTCGGTGGGGCTGGACCTTGACGGTGGCAAGGCCCGTGCATTTCAGCGCAGGCGACGTGTGCGATCTCCCCTATCGATCGACCTCCCCTTCCCATGGTCTCGGGCTCACCACCTCCCTCTAGGCTTTGGGCAACATTCCATTCCAGGGGAAGTTGGACTGGTGAATAATAAAAGGTGGTTGTCGGCATAGTCGGAATTGTATTGGGTAACTCAACCTCCGCCCCATCCGTATCCTCCCTGGCGGTTGGGTCTAGCCCTCCTCTCCCCAATTCGTTGGAGGGAATCAATGCCACTACTGTACAATATAGATTCAGCCAACGTGGGAACTGGAAACAAAAAAAGACAGCAGTGAAAGGAAGCGCGCCAACGCTAGGCACGGTCGGCTGGCCGACGCAAATCCCGCTGTGGAAGTTACAAATCATGTATGAGAAAGTCTGTTGGCTTATGTACTGACATTTCACACTGCCTCGTACACTCAGACTCTGGCTGAGACAATATCATTTTCTAGGAATATATTATCGCGTACAGTACCAGTCATTGGTCAGTTTTAGCGGGAACTGGCAACCTTGACGACATTCCGTTCCATCCATTCCGAGTGTCCAGGCCATAGGAGACTGGTTCACATCACTAAGGGCGTGTCCAGCGCGTACATTTTTTTTTCAAAACCCTTGCCAACCGTTATAGATTTATTATCAATCCTTCTGATCCGTGAGGCACCTCACCCAACCGCAATCAAACGTACGCGCTGGACACGCCCTAAGACCAGCAGGTTGGATGGTAGTGTGCTGGCAGGTCTAACTAGCGTTTAGCCGTCCTATACTTCCTGCAACGAAGGCCTCGGCTTAATCACTAAACCATAGCGGGACTGGCCAACGGTATCGTTCTCTGCGTTCACTCTCGAATGCTTGATCCGTAGTTGATCGCATTCAGCGATTGGTGAAGGCGAGCGGTCAATGGACGGGACCTTCTGCTGAGCAGGACTATCCCGTTCGAACTAGATCATCGAGTTGACAGAGAGGCGATCGGATATCGTATGCCAAGATGTTGTCGGGGTTCTCTAAGATCCTCGCGAGCACCGCCGCTTCGATTGAGAAGACGGTCCAGGTGTGTTGGGGCCTCCTCTTTGTCTCGCCATTTCTTTTTATGCATGGTTCTGACGTCAGCAGCGAAGCGGAGTAGGTGAAGTGCGCTGGTTAGGGTTAACTGCTGAGGCATCAATGCTGAATGCGTGGATATGCACCTCCCTTAATCTGTTGCCCTGGCGTTTCAGAGCACGGTACAGGAGGTCACAGGGCCCAAGGCGCTAGCTGACTATGACCTCGGCGAGCAGGTGCGTTCGCCGCCCTTGGTCCGTGTTGAGACTTGCCGAATCTATTGTTAAATAAATTGCTCGTCGTTTAGCCCTAGGCAGATTTGCCTGACAATGCGTTGCATGCGGTGCGCCTGGGGCGTGGGCAGATCGGGTCGGGCGGGCCGGGCATGCTGTGGAAGCTGTACCGCGCGACGCCCAAGAGCAAGGCGCAGCAGACGGTGACGTCGGAGGTGTGCGTGTGGTTCCTCGACAAGAAGGAGCTCTCGGAGGAGCGCTCGCACCGCGGCATGAGGTCCGTGGGGGGAGGGGGGGGTGGGACGCGGGGAACGGGGGCACAGGGGAGCAGGGTAGATGCGTTTGTGCTCGTGAGAGCATATTTTGGATGGCGATGCATATTTTGCTTCCCACCGTCCCTTCCGACCTTGGAGACGCATCCGCAGCAACCCCTTTCCCGTCTCCGCGCTCTGTGGTTTCGTTCCCGGCTCCCGGCACACTCTGTTCCCCCACTTCCCCGCGCATTCTGTTCCCCCACTCCCCCCCGCACTCTCTTTCCCCACTCCCCGCCCCCCCGCGCGCCCACAGCAAGGCGGCGGAGGATCGGCTGCTGGACATCTTCCGCGCGGACGCGAAGGTGCTGCAGAAGCTGCGGCACCCGGGCATCGTGCGCGTGGTGGAGGCGCTGGACGAGAGCAAGTGGGCCATGGCCATGGTCACCGAACCCGTCTTCTCCTCCCTCGGCAACGCCCTCGGCAACCTCGAGAACCTCGCCACCATCCCTCACGAGCTCGAGAAACTGGTGGGGTGGGGAGGGGGCGGAGAGGGAGAGGAGGGGAAGGGGGGGAGGGGGGGGAAGAGGGGGGGCTGTTCAGGGGAGGTTGTTCGGGGGGGGAGGAGAGGGGGGAGAGGGGGGTTGTTCAGGGAGGCTGCATGTTGGTGTGAGATGAGCAGGGCTGGTCGCTAGGAAGTCTGCTGGGGTTAGAAGGGGGGAGAGGGTGTGGAGGGAGGGGGTGTGGGAGGGGGTCACGATGCAGAATTCGTTCTTTGAGCTTGTATTTTCTCCTGCATCTGACACGAAAGTGGCTCTAATGCATATGTGACAATGTGTGCATGCGTGTGTCCACGCCATTGGCTGCTATGACGTTCTCAGGAGTTGGGGCAGCTGGAGATAAAGCACGGGCTGATGCAGCTGGCGGAGACGCTGAGCTTCATCCACCGCAACGCCAACATCATCCACCGCGGCATCAACCCCGAGGTGCGTTCTCGCTGCTCCTCGTGTGTCTCTCATACCCACAGGTGCGTTCGAACCCAGAGGCATCAACCCAGAGGGGCACTCACTGCTGCTCCTCGTGTGTCTCGCAAACCCACAGGTGCGTTGGCCAGAGATGAGGCATCAACGCTGACATGCCCTGGCTGACGCTTCTGTAATGCACCGAGTGTGAGGCACGCCCACTGCCGCTGCTGGCAAGCCTACCTTCACTCGTTAATTCTAGCTTATCATTGATGGCAAGTTAGATACTCTCTAGGGTCCCTCTGCGGTGTGTATGAAATGATGTGTGCTCGCTGTGGTGCTGATCTTGCCCTTGGCGCATGACTCCCCTCCCTCGTGCACCCGTCACTGACGGCAGACGGTGTTCATCACCAAGAACGGCGGGTGGAAGCTGGCCGGCTTTGGCTTCTCCGTGCCCGCTGACGACCAGCCCGACCCCGATGAGCCCGCCTTCCTCTACCCCGTGAGTGCTTCTCACTCGACCCGGTCAGTGCTAGAGGTCCAGGATTGTGGAAAGAGCCCGTGGGTTGTGAAGGGAGCCCTGCGGAGGGAGGAATCATAGTGTGGACTGCAAGAATGCAGCGCGCTTTGGTTCCCCTTTCTCACTCTCTACCCTTTGCACCCATCCCCTATTTTTGCTCTCTTCAACCGCTCTTTCTGCCATCATGTGTGCACCAATCATCCTCGCACCCATCATCTCACCTCGCTCCCACCATCCCTCCGCCCCTCCGTGCAGGACTTTGACGTGGACGACCAGGTGCTGCCGCTGCAGCCGCTGCTGGACTACGTGGCACCGGAGCTGACGCGCCGAGCCACCATCAACCGAGCCTCCACTTCGGCGTCCAAGGACGCGCAGGCGAGCGTGGACGTGTTCTCGCTGGCGCTGCTGGCCTTCCAGCTCATCGCGCGGCGCCGCCTCATCCACGCCAACAACAACCTGCGCACCGTGAGCACACCGGGGCAGCTGTGCATCCTGGGAGACAGAAAGCTAGACAGGAGTGCATTCATCGCTTGCCTGCCCCCCTTCTCTGCGCTCCCATTCTGCTGCTCCCACCTACCCTGCTCTGTGTTGCACCAGAGGGCATCCTGTGCCATCACAATCCTCCTCTCCGCCTTCCCCCCTCCCCCCATCCACCCCCCCGCATGCGTGCAGTACAACAACCGCGTGGCGGGGCTGCGGAGCGAGTCGCTGGCGGGCATCCCCATGGACCTCGAGACCGACCTGCGCCGCATGCTCGCCCCTGAACCAGCCGCCCGCCCCACCGCCTCAGAGTTCGCCGCGTCGCCCTTCTTCACTGAGGACATGCGCCTGAGAGCACTCAGATTCCTCGACCAAATGATTGTATGGTTGGCACTCCTTAGTCATGCATTGCCCCCTTGCTGCTACTCCGCTCTTTCTCTTCCCTTCTGTGCCGTCAACTGTATTCATCCCGCAAGCTAACCACGTCACTGAGGACAACACAGCTTCCTCTCACATCCCTACCTTCTCTCGCCGCTGCTCTTACCTCTTCCTCCTGCTCACCGTGACCCATCTGCCCGCCCTGCACGCCACCAGGGACGGGACAACAACGCGCGGGTGGAGTTCCTGAAGTCGCTGGCGTCCATCTGGGCGGGCTTTGACTCGCGCGTGCTGCGCTTCAAGGTGCTGCCCGCGCTGCTGGAGGAGCTCAAGAACCCCGCCACGCAGCTGCTCGCGCTGCCCTGGGTGCTCGAGGTGGCGGAGGCGCAGGACGCGCAGGACTTTGAGCTGCGCACGCAGACGCTGCTGCTGCCGGCCATGGAGCACGCGGGGGGCGACGTGCTGCTGCTCTTCATGAAGCACCTCCCCGCCCTCGTCAGCAAGGTGCACACCCGTTCCCCTCTCTATTTCCATGCCTTCCCATGCCTTCCCATGCCTTCCCATGCCTTCCCATGCCTTCCCATGCCAACCCAAGGTATGTCCAGGTTGCCAAGGCGGGCTCCAGTGAGACGAGCGTGCACTAGTGAGACGAGCGTGCACTAGTGAGACGAGCGTGCACTAGTGAGGCCGCACGTGCGCCCATGATCGTGCATGTCTACGAGTGGTGAAGGACGAAACTCCTTCTGCGCCCTCCACTTGCTGAATCGCCCTCCCGCACCGCCCGCCTTTCCTGCCAGGTGTCCCCCGCGGTGCTGATGTCGCACGTGCTGCCCATGATCGTGCGCGCCTACGAGGACCCAGACCCGCGGCTGCAGGAGGAGACGCTGCGGCGGTCGGCGGTGCTGGTGCAGTCGCTGGACTTCGAGATCGTGCGCTCCATCATCATGCCGCGCGTGCACATGCTCGCCCTCCGCACCTCCGTTGCTGCCGTATGTCGCCTCCTTCCCTTCCTTTTCCACTCTCTCGCTCCTCTGGACCGCAGTTCCCCTGCCCCATCCCCCCCAACCTTGCCGTCTCCTCTAACTCTCTTCCTTTCCTCCGCTCCCGTCGTTCGCCCCTTGCCTCCCCCTAACTGTGCGTCTCCTGTTCCCTGTCTTCCATCTCCCTCGTTACCTCGCGCCGCCACCAGGTGCGGGTGCAGGCGCTGATCTGTCTGGGCGACCTGATCCCCAACCTGGACAAGGCGGCCGTGATGGACATCCTGCAGACGTGCGTGCGCTGCGCTGCTGTCGACCGCTCGCCGCCCACACTCATGTGCATCGTCGGCATCGCTGACATCATTCAGAGGCAGGTCCGTGTTGGGGCTGACTGTTTTGTGCCTGTTGCATGTTCTCACTCCTTCCGTTGCTGCGTTCCCATCGCTCGATATCCCCAAGAAGAGCTGTTACCTAGGCATAGGCTTTTGGGGTCGAAATGAGGTGTCCCCGGCATTGCCTCCGCCCCTGGCATTGCCTCCCGCCCATGGCAGTACGGCATCGAGTTCGCGGCGGAGCACATCCTGCCGCTGCTGTGCCCCATGCTGGTGGTGCAGCAGCTCACCGGCCCGCAGTTCGCTCGCTTCCTCAAACTCATCATGGACGTCCTCACGTACGCTGCTGCCCCTCCCCTCCCACTCACACACTCCCCCTGCCTGATTGCCCAAGCCTGCTGCCTGATTCCCCCTGCCTGCCTGATTGCTCACGCACACTGCAATTTCGCTCTCATGCCGCACACACACACTCTTGCTGCCTGCTTGTTTCTTTCCCTCTCTGAGTCGTTTCTTATCAGATTCTGCCTTCCTGTGTGTGCTCCTACCCTCCTCTCCCAACCTCCTTTATCCTGTGCCGCATTACGCATGCCCCATGCGCCATGCCGTCACTACTTCATGCCCCACGCAGCAAGATCCAGGACAAGCGCGGAGTGAGTTTGAGTGAGGCGGACTCCATATCGCTCGACCTCGCCTCCATGGGCATCTCCACCCCCTCAGACGCCACGGTCGCCTTCGATGACAGGTCAGAGATGCCTCTCCCCCTTTAAACGGAGCTCAAAGGTGAGCTGTCACCGTTGCTTTGCCCTTCCAGTCCTCCCCTCTCCCTCCCGATCCCCACTTGCTCCCCCAAAAAATCGCATTTCCTCCTCTCTTCCTCCCCCCCCCCAAATCAGCGCCAAGCCTGCATGGGACTCGCAACCAGACTGGTCCAAGGCACCTGCCTCCTCCGCTCCCCCCTCCTCCTCCGCCCCCTCCTTCCCTGACCCCTTTGCCTCTGCCCCCCCCATGTCCTCCACGCCCTCCGCCTCGCCCGCCTTCGGTGCCTCTGACCCCTTCGCCTCCTCCTCTCTCCCCGCTGCACCTTCCTCCAGTCTCGCTTCCCTGGCTGCCAAGCCCGCAGGTGGTATAGGGGGCATTGGCGGGGGTGGTTTGGGGGGCATAGGGGGAGGTGGCATTGGTGGCAGCAGTGGCATAGGCGGTGGCGGTATGGGGGTTGTTGGCATGGGCATGGGAGGGGGGCTAGGGGCACCATCTATGGGAGGGTCACTGGGAGGAGGGCTAGGAGGAGGCACAGGGTTCGGTGGGGGTCTGGGAGGAAGCGCAGCAGGAGGAGCAGGAGGGAGTGGTATGAGTGGCATGGGCTCTGTGTCGCTGCAGTCAGACCCCAATGACCCCTTCGCTGACTGGCCTCCCAGAAAACCGCAGGCAGGACAGGGGTCCATGGCAGCAGCACCAGCAGCAGCGGCAGCAATGGGTGCTCCAGCGCGTCCCCTGGGCGGAGTGTCCAAGGCCAGTGGGCCGCTGGACTTGGACGACTGGGGCGGCAGCTCCTTCCAGTCTGCCGCCCAGCCACCTGCCGCTGCCACGGGCATGGGGGCATGGCAGGAGCAGGCATGGGCATGGGCATGGGCGGAGGTATGGGAGCGGGCATGGGAATGGGCATGGCCCGGCCTATGGGTGGTGGTGGCATGGCTCCAGGGTTTGGGGCCTTCCCCACTGCTCCCATGGCTCCCATGGCTGCTATGGTTGCTCCCCCTGCTGCTGCTGGTGCTGTGTATGGCGGCATGCGCTTTGCTCCCCCCCCCTCGCAAGGCTTCCCTGCCCCCCCTGCTTCTGTGGGCATGGTGGGGGGCTTCACTCCCCCTCAACGCCCCGCTGCCCCCCCCCAATCCGGAGGCGCTATGCTGGACTTGTTGTGATGCACGGGGTAACCACAGGAGTGTTAACGCCCACTCTGCCTGACAGGCAAAGAAAGTCAACCCTGGAAGCATGGGCCCTCAGGTGGTGTGGTAGAAGCCTTGTGCTGGTTTAGTATAAATCTAGGTACAGCCCAAACACCTGTCCCCATGTAGAAAGGTACCAGTTGTGTACTCAAAAACGCACACTATAATTGACACAATCTTGTCTGTCACACTTGTCTGTCCCCAAGTTGCATCTACACCAAGGCCTTTCTGAACCATGCCACCCCACAACTCAAATTCCCCCACTGGCCCGTACTGGTCTAGCTGGCAGGAACAGCGAGCAAGCAGGTGTGCATCTACTCGTCAGTGACGCAGCCCTCAGAGGCCGACTTGACCGTCTTGATGTACTGCCAGGGAGGCGACAAAGAGCACAGAGCAAGGTACGTGTACGCGGGACATGAGATGGCCGTGCTCCTGACTGTCACATCACATGGCGCTAAGTGTTTCCCCCCCCATGTGTGCACAACAATCCTCGCCACTTGGGACCTCTGCACCTGCTCTCACTCACTCCCATTCCCATGCTGCCCCCCACCTCTCCCCTTCCTCCCTTCCATCCCTCCCATGCCCGCACGCACACGCACACGCACACGCACGCACCTTGTAGAGGGTCCCCCGCGTGGCCTTGAGCGGCGGCGCCACCCAGTTGGCGCGGCGGCGCTGCAGCTCGTCCTCGCTCACCGCCATGTCCATGGCGCGCTTCTCCACGTCGATCGTGATCACGTCCCCGCTCTGCACCAGCCCGATGGGCCCGCCCACCTAGTCGCAGAGGAGGGGGGGGAACCCGAGCGAGGAGAGTCAGACGGTTAGCAGGAGTGCGCTTGGGGGTGAGAGGGATGGGCGGCAAGCTGATCGGAGAAAAGGAAAGTAGATGGGCAAGGATGGGACGCACGGGAGGCGGGCCGTGCGTGAGTCAACGAGGAGAAACAAGAGCAGCCGGGCAATGAGCAGCCAGGCAATGAGCAGGTGCTGTGTGTACCTGGGCCTCGGGGCAGATGTGGCCGACCACGAAGCCGTGGGAGCCACCGGAGAAACGACCGTCCGTCAGCAGAGCCACCTCCTGGCGATGGTGAGAGAGGTGCGGGCAGAGCAGGGATGGCAGAGAAGTGAGAGGAGAGCAGCGTCAAAGGTGCAGAATCCTCAGACATTAAAGAAATCGCTCATGCATGCTCACGCACCCAACTGCACGCACACACATGCCCATGAAGCTATAAGCATGCCTGCATGTCCGTGGCCCATATCCATGACAATGCACATCCACACTCCTCACTTCCCCAAACTCCCCCCCATCGCACCTTCCCCAGCCCCGCGCCCATGATGGCGGAGGTGGGTGTGAGCATCTCCGGCATGCCCGGCCCGCCCTTGGGGCCCTCGCCTCGGATCACCACCACCGTGCCCTGGGGAAGTGGGGGAGCGGGGGGGAGACGGGAGAAGGGGGGGGAAGGGACGGGTGGGGAGGGGAGGGGAGGGGAGGACAGAGTTGCAAGGTGTGTAACGTGGGGGTGAATTGGGAGCGGTGAGGAAGGCGGGGTGGACAGAGAGAAAAGAAGTGGAGTAGAGCTGGGGTGGGGCTCTACCTTGAAGCTGTTGGGGTCGGCTGACAGCGCCTCCAGCATCGCCTCCTCGCCCTCAAACACCAGCGCTGGCCCTGGGGGGAGAGGGGGAGGGGGGGGGGAGGGGGCATAGGTGACGGCATGCGGAATGCATGGACCAGTGAATGGGAGGCTGACAGTGTGACTTGCGCAGCAGACAGTGAGGGATGGGGTCACCAGCCAAAAACCCCACAGTTCCCAACATACTCCCCCCACCCTCTCCCCCCACCTTGGAAGTAGAGCCCCTCCTTGCCCGTGATCTTAGCCACCGACCCCTCAGGTGCCAGATTGCCGTACAGAATCTGTTGGCGGGGGGGGAGTGCGGCGCACAGGGAAGAGAGGATAAGCGCGGGAGGGGAATGGGGAATGGGAGAGGCGCGAGGATGGGACGCAACGGAGGTGGGCCGTGCAGAATAGGGAGACAATAGGACGGCGACAGGTGTGGCGAGACAGCGCCAGCTGTCAAGATGGCACGGCTCACCTGCAAGTGGCCGGTCTGCTTGATGGGCTCTTCTACTGGGCGAATGACATCCTGCCACGTGTACATAGAAGGGGAAGAGAGGGAAGCGCGCGTGCACTTGGATAGGCCGCACCCGAGACACCAACTTGGGGGAAGCTGAAGGAGGGAGCAAGGGGATGGTGAAGGAGAGTGGGAGGGCGGGGCTGAGGGGGTCGATACCTGGGTGGGGGAGAGGGGCGGCACGGAGGCGAGGTTCTCTGCGAGGGTCTTCCCCGTCACTGCACGGACGGCAATGGGCAATGGGCAATGGGCAATGGGCAATGGGCAATGGGCAATGCAGCAGACGAGCAATGCGTGAGGGTGAGACGGGAGAGGAGAGTAACGAAGGACTTGTGCGTGACAACAGACAGACTGCAGCACTGCTCCACTGCCCCCTTCAACCCACGCCTTATCCTGTCACTATGCACCCCCCTCCCCCCCCACCCACCGGTCATGCAGTCGCCGTGCAGCAGCCCCTTCTCCAGCAGGTACTTGAGCACCGCTGGCGTGCCGCCGATCTGCATGGGGGAGGAGGGGTAAAGCGGATAGCGCAGGGGCAGAGGTGCGGAGAAAATGGGTGCTTTGAGGATGCATGGGTGCTTTGAGGATGCATGGGTGCTTTGAGGATGCATGGGTGCTTTGAGGATGCATGGGTGCTTTGAGGATGCATGGGTGCGGAAGGGATGGAAGTGAGTGAGCTCGCCATGCATGTGAGTGAGGCCTGCAAACCTGTAAAGCAAACCTCCTGTGCAGGTGAACTTCACCCACCCCTCTTCACCCCTGTGCACGCCTCTGCACCCCTGTGTACCTTGTGCACGTCCTCCATGACGTATTTGCCGCTGGGCTTGAGGTCAGCGATGAACGGCACGCGGTCGCTGATGACCTGGAAGTCGTCGAGGGTCAGAGTCACATCCACCGCCCTGAGGGCAGGAGGGATGGGGGGTGGGGTGTTGAGGGAGAGAGGAATTGGTGGTGGGAACGAAGAGCACGCATGGCTGGCAGTGGTGGGCGCCCTGCAGCTTCTGCTCATGCGCCACAGCGAGGCCAGCAACAGCAGGTCATAATCTTCCCATTTCAATCCCTCGTCCCACCTCTGTCTCTCACATCCCAATCACCCAGCGACGGCAATGCGGTGCAGAGGGGTACCTGGCGATGGCGATGAGGTGCAGCACGGCGTTGGTGGAGCCCCCCAGGGCGATGACGGTGGTGATGGCGTTCTCCAGCGCCTTGCGTGTGATGATGTCCCGCGGCCTCAGGTCCAGCTCCAGCAGGTGGCGGATGGCCTTGCCCGCCAGCCGGCACTCGTCCATCTTCAGCGGATCCTCCGCCGGGATGGACGAACTGGTGGGGGGCGGCAGAGGACGAGGACGCAGCAGCACGAGGGGGTGAGGGATGGAGTGCGGCAGTGGGTGGAGGAAGCGGAAGTTGCACTCTCTCACTGCTACCCTACACACGTCCACCTCTCACCCACCCACCCTGCCCCCACGTGCACCTAGCATAGGGCCCCCTTTTGCGCACCTGTAGGGCAGCGTGAGCCCCAGCGCCTCGATGGCGGACGCCATGGTGTTGGCGGTGTACATGCCGCCGCACGCGCCCTGCCCCGGACACGAGTACCGCACCACCTGCTGCCGCTGCTCCTCCGTTATGCGCCCCGCCACGTACTCGCCGTAGCTCTGAACGTGGTGGTGGGGGGGGGAAGAGGAGGGGGGGAAAGGGTGGGGGTGAGGGAGAGACGGGATCAAGGGGTGAGGGCAGGGGAGGCAGACAGCAGAATAGAAAAGCAAGTGGAGGCGTGGGGCGAAGGGATATAGAGGCGGGGGATACCTGGAAGGCGTTGACGATGTCGAGAGTGGCTCCCTCGAAATGCCCCGGCTGCAGGTGGCGGTGGTGTGATGTGCAGGTGTGTGAGGGCGCACGGGGAATGGGGGGGGAAGAGGTGGGGGGAATAGGGGAGAGGGTTGACCGGGAGCTTGAGGAGGTGAAGTTGGAGGGTGAGCATGGGGAAGAGTGCCGGAGATGAGATGCACATTCATGGCTAAACCACAGCCAAACAAATTACGAAAATGGGCAAATTAGTGGACCATCCTACCTTGATGGTGCCGCCATAGATCATGATGGCTGGTCGGTTGAGCCTCGCCATGGCCATCACCGTGCCGGGCATCTGATGGGGGGGAATGGCATGGTATGGCATGGCATGGCATGATATGGGATGGCTTGATGGCATTGATTATGGGATGGAGTGTGACCTATCACATGCCATGGCGCATGGGAGCACTACATTGCACCAAACTGAACTGCATGGAGCATGCTTGCCCTGGCTACCCTGGCTAACTCTCCCACAACGTTTTGTCACCACATCACTCCCAGCACTGTCCGCAACACCAGCGACGCCCATCCCCGCCCCCCATTGACTCACGTTCTTATCGTCCCGCCCCCCAGCGACTCACGTTTTTATCGCAGCCGGGGATGGAGATGTTGGCGTCGTACCACTGCGCGGCCATGACGGTCTCGATGCTGTCGGCGATGAGGTCCCTGGACTGCAGGCTGTAGCTCATGCCGTCCGTGCCCATGGAGATGCCGTCGCTCACGCCGATCGTGTTGAACCGGAACCCCACCAGCCCCGCCTCGGTCACGCCCTCCTTCACCGCCTCCGCCAGCTGCAGCAGGTGCATGTTGCACGTGTTGCCCTCGTACCACACCGACGAGATGCCGATCTGCAGGGGGGAGTGGGGGAGAAGAGAGGGGGAGGGGGAGACGACGTGGTGGGAGAAGGATAATGGCATGGAGGCGGCGGTCGTGGTGGTGGTGATGAGACGGGCAGCGGTGGCGTGGCTCGTGACCAGCATAATCCCGGGGCTCATAGCGCGAGGAATGTCGCAACGCGAAATGGGCGCTAAAAGGGCGCCTATTAGCGAAGCGCGGTGGCGGGGATAAGCGGGGTTTAGGTAGACCCCGTGGGCCAGTCGGCTTTTCTGCCTTCTTCTGCCTCTCCTCCTCCCGTCCCCCTCCCCCCTTCCCCCTCCCCCCTGCCCCCCCTCTCACCTGCGCCTTGTGCATGTCGGCCTCGGTGAGCCCCACGCCGTACAGCATCGCCTGCGACGCGCCCTGCGACTTGGGCTGGGTGATGCGCGAGCTCCATCGGTTCAGCGCCTTGCCCTCGCCCGCCGCACCCGTCGCAGACCCCTCCGTCTCCGTCGCGCCGCTCTCCGCGCGCACGCTCAGCCCGCGCAATGCGGCGGCTTTAGCGGCGATGCGAGAGCGAACGACGGGGGCGGCGACAGGGTGACCAGCAAGGAACGCGCGCGAGCTGATCTCATGCGATGGCGCCGGGGAGAGCGCGGGGACGCGCAGCGCAGAGGCTGTGAGAGTCTCCATTCTGACTCGATGGACTACTACGAACGGGTTGAGGGGGAATGCCCACCCTGTTGCTTGAAGGGGAAAGCTGAAGGAACTGGAAAGACCAGTTGATCTGAGGGGCGGATTTTGTGAAGGGGATATTCTGCCGCATTTATAAGGACTGCAGCAGGTTGTGGAGGAATGCGAAGTCGCGTTAGCGAGACGCACTTTTGGCGAGGTTCACTTTCCATTACCTTGGCACATTTTGAATCGTTGGATATCTCAAGACCGTGTATGACCGTCGATTTCGCCAGCTGACGTCAAATTTTATGCTGACGATTGCACTGAATATTTCACTCCCAGCTTCCGCTGACTCATCGGAAAGTGGGAGGCGGATTGCGTAGAATCGCGGACATACTCGATTGTGAACGAGAAGGAAGCGTCATACAAGCACAGGGCAATCATTGGTTAGATGCTAAATCGTCGAGCATGCGAATATATACGGTATGACTTCATTACAAATCAATTATGCATACAGATCAATGCCCCAAAACGAAGCCGGGTTGTTGCTCCTAGCCTTGGCATCAAGGGCCTCCATCCTCTTCATATCATCAGCGTCCAGCTCGAAGTCAAATATCGCAATGTTCTCGGCGAGGCGGTCCTCGCGATTGGACTTGGGAATGACCACCGTGTTGCGTTGCGTGCCCCACCGCAGCACCACCTGTGCCGCTGTCTTCTTGTGCTTCTCAGCCAGCTCCTGGTAGCATTGGGCGGGTGAGCAGCACATGCAACACATATCAACCCGGTTGAAAGCACATCTTTCAGCTTTAGGGGATCCCATTTCAACCCATGACAAGAGCAGAGATGAAACTGGTGTGTGAGCCGAGGCACGCACCAGCACAAGGGGGTCGGAGAGGGGGGACTTGGAGTGGAAAAGCTCCTCGTTGGCAGCCCCCCCTCCCAGGGGCGTGTGGGCCGTCACCGTCACGCCGAACTTGGAGCAGAACTGGAGCAGCGAGGGGCGCTGGAAGTAGGGGTGCGTCTCCACCTGGTTCACTGCTGGCTTCACGCGGCTGGCGTACGCCAGGCAGTCACGGGTAAGGTAGACGTCGTAGTTGCTGCGTGCCGGGAGGTTGGGGGAGGTTAGAGAGGAGAGGGAGAGGGGGGAGGGGGGAGGAGGGGAGGAGGGGAGGGATTTGAAGGGATGCAGAGAGACGGAGAGGAGGATATGTGATCCCTGGGATGACGGATGGGGAGGAGTGGGAATGAAGGACGAAAGGAGAAATGCAAGACTGGCACCCTTTAATCTATGAGAGACGCCTGAGTGAGATGCTCGATGCCCGTGGCACGACCCATGCCCCCCTCACCTGATGCCGATGGAGCGCACGAGCCCATCGGCCACGAGCGCCTCCATGTGCGACCACACGGTGTGCAGCGGCACTGAGATGTCCATGTCCAGCATGCCATCTGCCGCCATCGCACTGCTCGTGCTGCCAATGCCTGCCATGCCATGCCATGCCATGCCATGCCATGCCATGCCATGCCATGCCATGCCATGCCATGCCATGCCATGCCATGCCATGCCATGTAGAGAAGCGTGGGACATAGGGAGGACCACGGCTGAGTTTTGGCAGTTGGCATGCAGCTCTGACTCGCACATCATCACGATCACGCAGTTCTGTCCTCTTCCATCGCTCATCTTTCATCCCCGCTCCCCCTTTCGCTCCCGCCCTTCCCCCTCTCTGCCCATGCACCCCCCCCTCCCCCTTCCCCCCCCCCCCCACCCCATTACCCTCCAAGCACTCTTCAGCATGAGCCGTCAGCCGCCTCACCGGTGTGTTTGGTGGCGATGGGGAAGTGCACGAGGTACAGGTCCAGGTACCCCACGCGGAGGTCTTTAATCGACTGCTCGCACGCCGCCCGCACGTGCGCGTGGTCGCTGTTCCACAGCTTGCTTGTCACGAACAGCTCCTCGCGCCTCACCGCCCCCTCCGCCAGCACCGCAGATAGCGCCTCCCCCACCTCCGCCTCGTTGCCGTAGTCCGCTGAGGGGGGGCGGGAAAGGGTGAAACGGCGAGGGTGGGCGAGAGAAGAGAGGAAGAGTGGGGCTGAGATTGGGCAAAGTGCAACGACTGAAGCGCGCTGAGCTCGCGCTGTACCGCTTTATCCTGATGACGTGCTTCCCCCCCCTGGATCGGGCTATAGACGGACCAGCGCAGTCGAAGTGGCGGTATCCGAGCCGCACGGCCTCCTTGATAAGCGCGCCGAGCCGGCCCTTGTCCGCGCGCCACACGCCCATCCCCACCACCGGCATGTCGTAGCCGCTCGACAGACGGATAGCCGGCACCGCCGACGGCGCTGTGGCTGCCATGAGAGGCGCTGCTCGACGGTGACACGTGGATGGCGGAAGTGCGACGAATAATCGGCGGAAGGAGACGCGATGTGCGGTTGTGGAGGCGAGAGGGGGGGTCTGCGGTGCGAGTGAGGGAGGCGGGGCTAAAGGCTTGCTGGAGAGAGCGAGCATTGACGGAAGGCGAGGCGAACAGTGGATGGGGGAAACGGGATGGGCAGAGGAGGATGACTGTGAAAGAATGCGAGGGGCGGGTTCGATGCACGCGGATCTCTAGATTCGAATCTTGAATTGCGCCTTCTGGGCTATCCCCGATTGTACTGCACTCGTTACCAAAACTCTCTCGTTTACGCTCGACAGAAGTTAAAATTGACTCGAATCAATTTCTCACAACCATAAGAAACCCGCACATGGGGAGCTGCTGCCTGCCCACCTCCACAGCCCTTGTGACAGCCCACAAGCCCTTCTCTCCCGCATCCCACCGGCGTGCGACCTGTCATGCTGCTGCTGCCTCGCTTCCGTCGGCCTCGCTTCCCTGTCTTCACTCCACCTCCCTGCTCTCTGCGCGCTTCCCCCCTTCGCGAGGCACTGCTCGCCCGCCTTCACGCCGCGCGGCGCACGTGGCACCATCCCCGTCGCTGCGTCCCCCCTTCTCCGATGCCGCCTGCTGGTTATCTTGCGCCCCTTATGGCCGCGCGCCCTCCATTCCCGCTCCCCGTATCGCTGCAGTCCCCGCCTCGCTCCTCCGCTGCTCCCCCTATCCTCCGCCACGCCCCCCCACGCGCAGCTCTCCGCAGTTTCTCTTCCGCCCTCCTCTGGCCTTCCCCCGCGGCAGGGCATGCGGACTGCAGGCGGAATCGATTGCCGGAGATTCAATGCGCGCGGGCGGTGTTACGGGCACAGGCGGTGAGCGGAGGTGCGGGAGCAGCAGAGGAGGTTGCGGAGGGGCAGGGAGAGAGGGGAGGGGAGGAGGTGGGGCGCGGGGAGGCGAGGGGAGATGCGCCGAATGCGGCGGAAGCAGCAGATGAGGGCGACGGCGTGGGCCAAGGCATGGTTGGTGGCGGGGATAGAGGCGGGGAGGCGGAGGTGGGGAGGAGTGACGGTGGCGGAAGGGGAGGCGGGAAGGGCGGGGCGCGGAGGAGGGGCAAGCGCGTGCGGCTGGACGAGCTGTGCGTGGCGCGATGGGCGCAGTACAGCCGCAGCCAAGTGCGCTCGTGGATCCTGCAAGGTGGGGCTTGGGCAAGGTGGGATAACATCTCGGCTGATCTGTCCATTCCTCCTTTGTTGCGGCCCACCTCCCTCTTCCCCCCATCCCCCTTTCCCCCATCCCTCTTCCCCCATCCCCCTTTCCCCCATCCCTCTTCCCCCATCCCCCTTTCCCCCATTCCCGACCACGTCACCATTCCCTCCCCTCCTCCTCCTCCCCCTTCCTCCCCCTCCCCCTAACCCCCACCAGGCAAGGTGCTGGTGGAGGGGCATCCGGTCACAAAGGCAGGCGCGCAGGTGTCAGAGCACGCTGACGTCATCATCAAAGCCCAAGTGCCCAAATACGTCTGCAGGTGCACTCGCTGCCGCCACACCATGCCACACCATGCCACACCATGCCACATCATGCCACATCACGCCATATTGCCTCCGCCCCTTGAGCCCTAAACCTAGAGTCTTGAGCCCTCAACCTCCAGCAACCTCCCCTCCGCCCCCTGTGTCCCTCCACGAGCCCGCCGCGCCACTCACCTCCTTCCAACCCACGAATGAGTGAATCCGCTCCACCTCCCCCCTCCCCCCCGCGACAAGCTGTTGGGCGCGCTGCAGCGGTTTAGGGCGGCATCCATGTCATCGCCGCCCCTCATGCCCTCTCACCCTCCTCCCTTCTCCCCACCGTCCCCCGCCCCCCATCGCCTCAGGGCGGGGTACAAGCTGGAGGGCGCGCTGCAGCAGCTGGCGGTGCAGGTGGCGGGCGGCGTGGCGCTGGACGCGGGGCTATCGACAGGCGGCTTCACGGACTGCCTGCTGCAGCACGGGGCCACGCGCGTGTACGGCGTCGATGTGGGGTACGGCCAGGTGCGGCGTGGCTGGGAGGGGTGCGGGCACGTGAGATGCAGGCTGGTGGGAGACAGGTGGGTGGGAGGTGCAGTGGAGGCGTCCATGGAGGTGTGCTGGTTGCCCTCGGTTCCCCCTCTCATTCTGAAGTGCATCCCTGCCTGCTTTTCTTGTGTGTGTGAGCTTGTGATTGCTTGCAAGTGTGCGTGGGATGAGCGTAGCATGGAGTGTGAGTGTGTGGATGTGTGTGCGGGTGGAGTTTACTGACGTGTGAGTGTGGTGTACGTGTGTGTGGGGGGGGATGGCAGGTGAGTGAGCGCATCAGAACAGACCCGAGGGTGGTGGTCATGGAGCGAACCAACCTGCGCCACCTGTCGCCCTCTGATTTGCCAGAGCAAGTCGACATAGTTACTCTCGACCTCTCCTTCATCTCCGTCCTCCTGGTACGCTTAGATGCTGTCATCACCATCCCCCATTGCATCGGCACCATCCTTCCATTACCGAATGTCACATCTAATACATGGTGACCACTGACCTGACCATATTCCCATTTTGTCCATCATCCCTATCCGCCCATGCCTCCATGCATCCCCCTCCCCCTGCAACTCCCCTCCCCTCCACCCTGCACAGGTGATGCCAGCGGTGGTGGGGGTGATGACCCCGGGTGCGCACCTCATAGTGCTCGTCAAGCCGCAGTTCGAGGCCCGGCGTGGCCAGGTGGGGGGGGGCGGCATCGTGCGCAGCGAGCAAGTCAGACAAGAGGTGGGTGTGGAGTGGAACCTGTGCGTGTGTAGTCTCAAGTTATGGTCTTGTGCCTCTCATGTATTTTGTTCGGATGCATCTCCTCGTATTCTTTCTCCTGCATCTCCTTTTTTTGTCATCGTTGCGTGCATTTCTGATATGGCTGCAGGTTCTTGAAAGGGTGACGCGCGGAATTGAGGAATTTGGGTTTGAGATGAAGGGGGTGATAACATCACCAATAACGGGCATGGATGGAAATGTTGAGTTCCTTTCTCACTTTGTGCGTAGGCCAGTGGCTCCAGCTGAAGGGATTGTTCAACAAAAAAACACTACTGAGTCTTTATAAAACACATATCCATCTACGGACCCATATACTCATTATATATAAGGAATTACCATTCCTTACTGGGGCTCGCTTCAGCGAGAACACGCGAATAGTTCGCGTCCGCAGGCTTGGCCCTCAAGTCACGCACCAAACCAGCCCCAGCCGACCTATTGTAACCCGAGTCGCCCCGAACCAGGGCCCAAAATTGGTTTTAGGCCACTCTTTGAGATCAGAGTAGGAAAAAAAAAATGCCCTGACGGTCAGAGCTAAAAAAATTCTAAGTCTGATTTGGCAGGGTAAAAAAATTCGAAGTCTTTGCTTCAAGTGTAGAACTCTTTGCACCCTTTCTAGCCTTGGCCATTTAAGGAACATTTTACATGAATGAAGTGGGCTGCACTGAGGTGTGGAAAGAAGGGTGTAGCGGATTTGCGCGTGCTGGGGGAGATTGGGGGATGGGATGGGACGGAAAACGATTCTGGGGCGCGAGAGGGGAATCAGATTTACATGGGCGGCAGAGGGGCGGGAAAAAAACCATCTGCTCGTGATTGGTTGGGTGTCAGAAGGGCGTATACGACGTGACGTGTCTTGCTGTGGTGTGGAGGACTTAGCGAAAAAAAAAAAAAAGTAGCGGGGGTGTGGTTGGGAGGCATGTCTCTTGTGGGGGACTTAGCCATTTCTGGGTTGCGAGGGGGTGAGGGAGCTATGACTCTGGCTACGACTTAGCCGAAATTGCTGGCTTGCATGGTGCGTGGGGTGGGAGGAATGACTCTGGCTGCCAGGGACTTCGTCGAAATTTTTGGTTGCAGGGTGTTTTGGGGGAAATGTTTCTGGCCGCCAAGGACTTAGTCGGAATCTCGGAGTTTCGATACCAGGGTAGTTTTCAGGACGCCCTGAAGGGTCAGGGTTCGGGGCCCCGCAACCCTAGTTTCGGCAGGGTAATATTTTCGTAACACTTTTTGGATCAGGGTAATAAATTTCGTAAGTCTGATTTTTAAGACCAAATGAAAAAATGCCCTGAAAAATCAGGGCAATCAGGGCATTTTACCCGGCTAATTTGAGCCCTGCCCCGAACCCATTTTGACCCCATCACCCTCGGGACTATCGAGCCCTGAACTGGTCCAACCCTCGACATTCAACCCTGGTCAATCGCCCTTTATATTGCCTAGGCCTCTTTTCTATCAACACGCTGTGATCGCGTTCCCCTTATTGAATACTGCGTTCTTCTCTGAGTTATAATTCGATGGTATCTGAGCTACGTTCATGCCCATTAGGTTTCCGGTAGGGGAGCAGACCCTATCGGGGAAAGGGGCGGAAGGATGCTAATGGCGAGCGGACGACGCAAAGATTAATTACGCAGGCGTTTCCGATGCCGTCAGATTCTGCCTGATGGACGGTTGGGATTAGCCGGTCCTCCCCTTCCCCGGTCGTAGACGGAATTATTTCCGGTCGAAAAATGGGTGACGTGTTCGCCGTGTTTTTCAGGTACGTTCGTTAGAGCTTTCGTAATTTTCGGGTGTTGTGACGGAGTCTTCGGATTGGCTTCCGAAAAAAGTGAAGGCTTCGTCACGAGGAGACAAGTGCACGGGAGTCCTCAAGCGGCCGGGAGTTGGTCGTCAGGAGCGCGCGGGGTGGCGACCATGGCTGGACGTGCCGTGAGGCTGCTGGGTGAACTGTAGCTGTGTCGCGGGTACCGGCGTTTCTGGCAGGCTATTGTAGTTGCATACGATTGACGTGACTTCAAAACTGTTTCGGCAATAGGCGGCCCCGACAATTTTGGCACGACGCGATCGCACAAGGCACGTGTGAGTGTGCAGTTGTGTGGGAGCAGCTGGGATTAACGACCTCGACGCTATTCAGCACGACGGCCATCTGGAGGTGATGACGATGTGCTGGAGTGAGTGTACTCAGCGAGGGCCACTTCCCGCGTGGGGAGGCGTTTTCATGGACCAGCGATTCATACCCTTACGATCAACGGAAACGGAGGCCACCACCCTTGGGTGTGAATTAAGAGTTGTTCCACCGGTCCCCGAAAGCGTTAACTGTCAGGAGCAGAAGCAGTGGAAGAAGAACGACGGGAGTACTAGAGTGGTTAGGGGTTAGTGGCGTTGGGGCTGCGCTCAGCTACGTCGC